GAGCTACCACTAAGTTTTTCCCTCCCATCAGTGATTTTCCAGTACTCATTCCTTGCATGCAAAATGAGTAAAATAAATTGTGAGGTGCTGCTCTATTCATTCAGAATGACACTATATTATACCTTCTTTCTGCATAAGATAGTAAAGTAATATTACAGCTGCCTTCTTGTGATGGCTACATTATCAATGCACTAAGCAAATAATATGAGATTATCATACTCTCCTTGTTTTGCAATGCCAGAATCCTATTTTTATCATCTGAAGACAAGAAGAGGCAGATCAATGTTTTTCTTTTTCCAAGGGGAGTACTCTACCAACTCTAAAGCAGTTCAAAGGACATAAATATACAGGAATTAAAGCATAAAATTATTGAAAATATTTAAAAACACAAAAATCTTCAATCTGTGGCAAATAAATAGCTGTACTTCTTTTCATTCCTGATCATCAAGAGAGCTATTGAAGGTGCAAATAATAAAAGACAGCTTTTTCTTTGCATTTTCAAACATAAAGCCATGGCCCTGGTAGATCCTGATATATTATCCAAAAAGGACTAAATATGGTGTCTGAAGGGACATTGAGACTACCTATTTTGTTTGAAACTGATAGTCTTACTGTTCTTTCAAATAAAAGACACAATACGTACTGGAATGATATTATCGTAGATACCAAGAACATTCATAAGAAAGCTGCACCTTTGCTCAGCATGCTAACATTCACAGTAGGAGAGTTAAAATATTAACTATTCACTATTTGGTGTTAATATCTACAACTGAATTGCAGAGAAGAGAGAAAAAAAGACCACACAAAAAAAACCTACACATTTTACTGTCCGCATTGATACTCAAGATTGAAAGATGATCCCCATAAAATCCAATGAAATTAGCATCTTAGGCGAGGACAGTAGAGTGCAGTGCATATTGCAAAACTTCCATTCAGACTGAGCTTAAAGTTGAATTCTTGAAATGAAAACATATTGAAATATTCCTTTCTTTGGACATTATTGTCCTCATAAACTGCTTGCTACTTTGCTCACTTGAACCAGCTTCCAAGTGAGGACAGGCCACTACTTCCAACATCACATTAAATACCAACTATGCTTTACTGGCAGTTAGTAAAATACTTACATAGGTACAGATGCACCTTAGGACAGAGATTTGTCAATTTACTTAATTCAGCTGCATTACTGATGTATCTTTCACTGATTCTAGTAAGAAATGGTTCCTGAAGTTACAAATATGTTACTAGCAAAAATAGGACTAAAGACTGTTCTTTGACCCTGAGCAGCACACATAGTGATGTTTCACTACACCTTATCCTGGGTGCCCTCTGTGTCCCTGCAGTGTCCTGGTGGCCCTAGACATCACTATTATTTTAAGTCAGCTTCTTGCATTTCAACATGTGTGGCACTAAGTACTGTAGTTTTTTTGCAAGTCATCACAGTGATTCTTTCCTGCCTCCTCTCCCTTTTCTTCTCTTTGAGAACATCTGTAGAGCTACACGTGGAAGAAAGGAGCAGATTTGCTCACTCATCTGGTTACCGCATTTCCCGTTGTGGGAAACAGCTCTGTGTTTTTCACACATTAAGCACTTTACATATGACTATGATTAATTAATTCCTTCTGTTGTCAGCTTTACATGCTGATTCTCATACTACCATCAGTATTTTCCCAGCTGCTACAGACAGTGAGTTACACCAAAGGGAATAACATGCTCCCCCCTCTCCTGCTATTACCAGTCCCACTTAAAGGGTGGATGTGTTTCAGCCAGTGAAAAAGTTGGAAAAATAGAGCAAGCAACAAAGTAGAAATGGGGAGCTGGTACCAAAGTTGTGCTAGGACAAAGATCTTCCTCTCTGGCAAAAATGGCCAGTATAATAATATCTGTCACCAGAACATGTGCCACCCACTCTCCTGGGAATAGCAACCTTGCCAAACACTGAGGTCCATGTCTCCACAGCTTGACAGGTGAGACATAATAGTGTATTGCTACACTTCCCAGGAACTAAATAATGTATTCTTTACCCTTAAAGGAAGAAAAAACTCTGGTTTCGTGTTTTCAGAGTGGCAGTAGAAATGGTAAATTTAATTCCTCGTACACTCAGATAGTATTTCCCTTACATATTCTTTTGTGAAAGTGTAGATACATACAAAATTTTCAAACCTTCTCAGCTTACTCTTCTAGCCCTAGCATCTTTTGCTGCAGCACACAGAACAAGGAGCAGGTTTATCAGCTAAAAGACATTCTCAAAAAAGTCCTTAAAGATCCCTTAATTCTTAAAGAACATTTGATTTTCTCTCTCATGGATGAGTTCTTCAGAGTCTTTTTTTTTTTTGTTAGCTACCCTGCTTAAAGCCACTGCAGGTAGGCAGTGGTTCCTGGGGAAAGAATAGGTATTTTTACTGCAGCAGAGGTGCTGCAAATCAGTCTGAAAGCCAACAGATTAAAAACACTGGTAGCACATAGTGTTGAAATTAAGCTAAAAATCTATCTTCATAATAAGAGCATTGTCTGTTTTTAAAATTCATACTAATCCATTTTAATAGTCTGTGTATCCTAAAGCAGCAGAAAAAAAAGCTTAAAGTACACGGTACACGATAAAAAAATTCTGGGGAGAATAATATACCAATTAAATCTCACATAACTTGTTTAATTGCTAATTGAGGGCAAGGTGAGGAAAGACTGGTATTTAGTTGATTAAAACAGCTGCTTCAAACAAGCCATTTGAAGTTATCACAGAACCATTTCAACTGGAGATGAAAGGACCCCCGGAAGCACCTTGGAGGCTATTCTGCAAATCCAAACCATGACAGATATCTCCTAATGGAGCTGTATTGGTCTCTCTTTCTCTTCCCCTCTCACAGAAATTTTCAATGGAAAGAGTGGCTCTCCAGCATTTGCTCTAATTGAACAGCTCCTGATTATGTTTGCAGCCAAGGGCAAGTAGCTGATTACAAGAACACATGGTATACTGATTAGGAGACTGCTAAATCTGACCAGACTAAGGTGCAAACAACAAGGATTACCAAGAAATTAATTGAAGGAAATATGCTCACTAGTGTTTCACTGGAAAAAAAATAGTATGTCAGTGAATAAACAGTACTATTCAGATTAATTTGAAAAATTTTCATACATACTTTATTTCTTCAAAATCCAAAACCAATGCTTTAAAATTTTATAGCCAAAAGGAAAAAAGTAGCAATTCCATGTTCCAAAATATATATTTATAAAATAATGCTATTATATTGGGATCAATACTGTTTACAGTTGGGAGAATTCATTTTCTTGATGGCTTTTTTAAAAATCATAATTTGTAGGGTCGCTGGGAAAGAATCTAAGCATGTTAGGGTCTGAAATAATTTCTTTATTTCTCTTGCTCTCTGGATAAGACCTCTAAGGGTGCAGAAAGCCTCAGCAGTTTTAAAATGAAAATGCCTACCTCATACCAGTCAGATATATAGGAGAAAGAGAAATTCTCCTTAAATGTCTTAGAAGATAGTTAATATAATATCTAGAAAACCTCAAAAATATTTTTTATCTAAATTCTGGGGGACTTTGGCCTTTAGCAATACAGACAGGTAAACTGAATGCACCTCGTGCCGAATAGACACCGAAGTCAAAACCAAAAATGTTCAGAAGATCTTCCTAAGCAGGGAAATTTCTTCTCTGACTTTTCCATCAGATGGGATTTGAGACACATGGTATAATCTACTGAGGAGAGGACTGTCACTTCTGGCTTTTAATAAAACCATAATCCTCAAGCAAATTTCCCCTAACAGGGCAAGGCACTACAGGTACTACCCCTTTTGCCTAAATGAGATACCTCTCATTAAAGTCTCTGCCACAGTTAGTCACCTTGGAGTCTCCTTATAAGAGAAAAGTAAACTTTTAAGGCCTGCAATATATCTCTTCTAGCATAGACAGCTCCATTAGTCTTGAAAAGCACTTATCTTTCTCCACAGATAACAAATGAAGCCAAGATATATCAACAGCATCAGAAGCTGTCCTCTCCACGATAAACAGATGCCACACACACAGGTTGAGAGACATCATACAGGATATTAAAACGTGTGTGGCATGGTCAGTGGAAGCCTGGATCTTAAGTCTTCTGCAGCCAAAGGTGAAACAAGCATCAGTCCCAGGGAAGAAACAGTTCTACTTGACTGTCTTTGTAAAAAGCTCGCTAATAAATTATACTTACTGAAGTATTTCTTACCTTGTAAAGAAATGGTGAACATTTTGGGGGTTAGTATTAAATTTCAGCACTGAAAGAGAAGCCCTAGAACAATGATAAAAACTTCAAAATGACTGAATTGAAAAACATAAAAGCACGAAGTCAAAGAGGGACTGACAATGAAGTCGACAGTCATTGAAACAGCTTTAAGAAGACTTCTAGAGACTATTGAGGTGAGTGACATAAAAAGACATAGATTTAGTTCTACTGAATTGTAGAAATTATGCACCAGGGAAATTTAGGGTAGGAAAAGCCACAGAGGCAAGCTGGTGAGGACTTGAAAAGTTCTGCTTTGATGAAATGTCTTTCACTGACCACAGACTGGTAAAAGATTGCTGAAAAATTCAATGGAAGAAAACCATCAGCAAGGGAATACATCAGTGCCCTATGTTAGTTGTAAGGGAAACCTGGGATATTTCTAAATCTTGCCTGTGAACTCAGCACCTTGAGCAGATATTATCTGTTGCAATACAGAACATCCTGATACTCATACTTATGACTGTAATGAATGATGAAAAATATTCATGCAAATTTTATAAGATATTTAATAACTCATGTCAAAAACTCAGTCTTAGCACCAGAAAAACATCTAGTTCTAAAAATCAGAAAATTCCACAACTAAAAATAAAATATGAATTATTAGTTGAAAAATTAATGTTCAGATAATGAGGAGGGTGGGTGCTTCCATCTGAAGACATTGTAGTAGCTACTAGTCAGTTTCCATTTAGCACATATTTAGTGTAACAATATAACTTTTTTTCACACTTACCAACAATTTCACTTGGCTCCTTATTGTAAAGTTTTTTGTTCCAGTAAAGAAGTCTGAGAAAAGGAAAGGAGACCAGAACAACAAGGCAGATACCCAAAAACATATGCCCTGTGAAGGCTGCAAAATCCAATCCCTGAAAATAAAAACAAAAAACTAAATTTAAAATCACTTATTTTTCTATATTACCTACAGGGAAAAGCATTCAGCTTTATATACGTTAACAATCAATAATAAATATAAAGCAATATAGTAAGTTCCAAGTACAGTATCTGCTGTATTTCATCTGTTTCAAGGAGACAAGCCACATTAAAATTTAATTCAAAGAACATTGCATTACAAGTTACTCTGAAACACACCTAGTGTTCTGAAATGTAAAGTAAAAAACCCAAACTGAATCATTAACATTTACTTCTCACTTAAATTACTTTAAATTCATTTCAAATCACTCAAAGTCTCAGAAATAGTTGGATTTTAATTACCAGATTTTGTTTAAGCTGGTGAAAACAGAAAAGTTTACAATAATTCTATTTGAACCATTCTTCTACAACAAAAGTATTATATGTCAATATTGTGTTTATTCCTCTTTCTGGTTAATAAATGAACCCAATTCTTTGTATTTTGCACAGTGAAACCTTTTAATGAAGGGGTTTTAAAAAAGCCTTATTAAAAGGCTGAACATATTAATTACTTCCAAGCAATAAGGATGCCCAGTGACAGTTTGTCCTAAAACTTTGAAGTTTGCCATGCTGTGAGTAGGACATTGGACTAACTGACCTCTAGGGTCCCTTTCAATTGAGTTATTACATTTTTCCATATTGCACACATTGTAGTGGATCAGGGTTAGCCTTTGGGCTGGACTTTTCTGGAGCAGCCATGACTTGCCTGTCCAAAAGTTACCCATGAAGCTCCAGGGAGGATCACATCCAAGTTTGGTAGGAGGGAAGTCTTTTATATCGAAAAAACAGAGGCTGTCTGAACTGGTGATCCCAGCAGAGCAGACCTGTGACACCTGGAATAAAGCATGGCTCAAGCCCATGATAGCCCAGGTTGTCCCAGCTGAATTTTCAGAGCACTTACTGATTTTCCAGAGACTCTGGAAAGTTAGTTGATTGTAGGATCTCCCTGTGACACACCACTATGTCTCTATTGTTCCCTGATTTTTAACTATCAGATTCCTATAGGCCCTTTTGTAATTCCGATGCATATTAAAAACAGCTTCCCTTGTAGTAGCAGCTGTTACCTTCAGTGTGTTAAGACTGTTGGAAATTTGCTGCTTTAAATATGTGTTCTTCTATATTGTCAAATGCTAAAAGAATTTATGTGGAAATTTCCTAGTTGAAATGTCTCTGGTTCAAAAAAGGGAAGAAAAGGTTTCTCTATTGCACCACAGGGCATAATAAAAAGACCCATAACACAAGAAACTGATGATAGTCATAAAGAACTTTCATAGCCAGATAAAGATTGGTGCTCTTTGGCAAAAAAAAATCCATAGCTTGCAGACAGTCAAATAAATCTCAAACCATAAATATGCAGACCTAGGATTAGAATTTGATCCTATTAAAATACAGGTTTAAGCTTCCTGAGGTAATATCATCCCTACTTGCTATTTAATAGTAGATTCCCTGACTCTTCTACTCTGCAGACACTAAAAGGTGAAACTGTACCTGTCCATTCGTTGGCCTTTTGCTGTAACTTAGCTACAGCCATTGCTTTTATGAAAGCAGAAGGAAGACTCTTCAGGAATTGGAATGAGATCATTTTAAGAATTGGACAGAAAAAAGTGACACCACAAAGAAAAATAATGTACCTTCATTCAGTTTGCCTACACAATAGGTCAGCCACTTAGGTGTCTTACATCTCTTTAAGACAGTTTTTACAAATCAGTTTTTACAGAGATTGGCCTCTGGGCATCAAGTTAAGATTCAGAGCTACAGGAGACATTTCTATGAGGGATGAAAACAACATTCATAACTCTAGGAAATTTACAAACGAATAAAAAAAGGATTCCTGCGAAGGCTCAGTGTTTGTGAGACCAGACCCCAAAATATATAAGCTCCATATCCCCCATGTTTATTTCCTTAATGAAAACCATTGACAATAAATTCACAATAAATCTATCTAAATATAAATATATCTAAATATATCTAATATATCTAAATATAGATATTAATCTATCTGAACCCATCTATATATGGGTTGCCTCTAAGATTATAGACAAAAAGAAAGATCATAAAATTTTGGCCAGAAAAATAAGAACTTTAAACCTCCAAAGTTGAACTGGCTTTAGTTCAGAAATTTTCCAACTTTGACAGTGTGCCTATAAACAACTCAGGAAGTAAGAAAAATCATTATTCAGTTTTGTATGGTCTCTAAAATAGCAAAGAGAGGTAGGAAGCCAAAACTATTTAAGCTGTAAAAACACTGAAGCTACACCAGCCAAATTGGAAATGCCTAAGCCTGACTGGAAAAAAGAACTATCCTGTGAAAGAAAAATGATTGGAAAACAGGTGGTTGAAGAGCAATAAAATAGTTAGGAGTAGTCAGATTATACTCAGTACAGAATTACCAGAACGAGGAAAATTACTTTTGCAGTCAGACTAGTCTTACAAAAAAGCAGTGGAGATGAAATTTTTCTTAGGCTGGCCAGCTACCAGGCCAACTACGATGGTAGAAATTCTCTGTAGAAATACACAGAAATAAAGATAAATGCTAAAGTAGGAAGTAAAAAAAAATAAATAGGAACCCAATGAATTCTTGGTAACCCTCAAGTTTAAATATGTGATGTCTTTGTCACATATTAAAGGATCTTGACTTTAAGGAAGTAGCTTATTGCAAGTAAACATAAATACAAAAAGCCACTTGCCTTTACATTTTTTATTATCACACCTATTTCAAAGGAAAAAAAATTGTCTCTGGTTCCTGAAATGCCACGATGCAGAGGCTTCTCAAAAAAATACAGCAGAAGAATTACATCACTTGAAACCCACAAAATTAATTTCTTGATGAAGAGAATCACCTCAACCTAGAAGACAAACTAAAATGCTGAGGGTAAGAAGGAGGTATCAGGTCTGACTCATAGCTGAAAGGAATTGAAATGAGATAGAGATCACAGTACCCTGAAAAAAAAAAACAGGATTAACACAGCTTCATGACATAAGAGCTGACGTAGATAAGCCTTGAAAGTGATTTGCAGACACCATCACAAGAAGAAGAAAAAAAAATAACTGCTAGATTTTTTGGCATCCTATCCAAGAGCTTATCCAAACTTTTCAGAGGGAGTAGCTGGGCTGAGATTCAGGACTTTGTTAAAGTTCATAATATCAGCACATTGATCTTTCATATTTCTGAGATCCCTGGTGAAAAAGAAAACATGCTGCTCTGCTCCTACTGCATAACAGCTTTCCAATTCAGCTGAAACAAATTGTTTTCTAGCATGGAGTGTGCCTATTTCAGGACAGAGCTTGCATGACAGGATTGTCAGTGATAATGCAAGACTGGATTCACCTCTCTTCCCATCCCTTGCTCCCAGCTTTCCTCCCCATTACCTCCTTGCCTTGATCCACAAGAGACAGTGAGTGGAAATGAATCCTGATGCCTTGGACAGCGGATGCCCTGTAGCCATGGAGGCTGAGGGCTACCAAATGCACTACCTTTTATGGCTGATATCAGAAAGGCTGAAATACAGTGAAATACAGACAGCTGCCCTTCCTGATGCTTTGGGCTGGGTGCTTAGCCCCAGCCTCTCTGCAACACAGGGAATTTGTTTTCAGGGAAAAGGAAGGCTGATTTCACACCAAGCATTGTCAGATACCTGGTAGCCAGCTGGCAGCCTCTTGGGGAACTTTAAAAGGCTAAAAGGTTTTCACTGTACCACAGATACCATGGATGCAGCAGTGGATACCTAGGTCATGGCACAGTTGCTTCATCAGTTGCCCCTGTTCCTTTTCCCACAGCCCAGAAAGGACACACAACATCTCCACATAGCCTACATTCATACCCTTTTTGGCTGTGGATAGCACATTTTATACTTCCTGAGTCTTCTGCGCTGCTGGAGCCAGGATTCAGCATTGTAAAAAAGCATTAAAGTGCTCCCCATGTCTCCTGCATACAACAAAAAGTCATTTTCACAAAGATTTTCTTTTCCTGCACAATAGACTGGAATAGAATTGACATGCACAATAGGCAAGAAATATTTTTCTTCCAGGAGATTTCAATCTATGAGATAAATACAAAACACGCTTGAAATGTCCCTTACTTGAAGCTATGATGATTGTGTCAAATTCTTTCTGCTCCCCAGTCAGGAGAAAATGTAAAGATTTTGTTTTAGCAAGACAACAGCCTAAAGGTTCTACTGCCTACAGATTCAGAGCTGAAACAGAGTGGGAATCTTTACTTGGTTTATAGTTTAAAATGCAAAGTCAAATATATCAATTTCATATTAGGAGGAAGCATCATATTGTTTTCCTAAAATTCTAGCTTCTTATCATCTTGGTTATTATTTTTTTCATTGCTTCTGGAGATGTGAAATTAAATTCTAGTAATTCAGACCTTTCCACAAGGAATCTGCCTATTTAGAGCAATGAGAAAGCAAAAATTATAGCTATGTGCAGCAATCTGGGGAGCAGCAAGTACTGTTTCTAGCCAGAATGCCCTTTACTTAATATGTTAAAACTAATAAAATGAAGAAGAGCAAGAGTAATTTATTATTTCTACACTGGCTTAAACATCCCTTCTAGCTGAGTGACTAAGATCTGCATTGTCTCTCATGGGAACTGCTCATGATGTCACTGAGCCAGAAATCACTGATGGTCTAACACAGTTACATGAATATAATGTTTATTTGAGACACTGATAAACCTCCTTTTTGGTGTTACATGATGCTATTTAATGATTACTACATGCATAGATGGCAAAAATTCTGAAATCAGAGGTAAGCCCATACATTTTAGTTCATGCACTTTAATTACACTAATAAGTGTAATTTTCTCTTGAGAAAAGAAATCAATCAAACATCAACAGAAGGGGTAGAGTTCTACAAATTGATTAAAAGTTTTAACAAGCTTGTATCCAGCAAACTCAACAAAAATAGCCTACTAAACTATGGGAATCCATTTTAGCAGTGCTTGAAATATCTGTAAAGCTTCATAAATAGGATTTTTTCTTCTCTTTTTTTTCAGAAGTACCTACTTTCATTCATAAATTTTTGGTACCATAATTTCTCATTAAATATAACCAGCTAATATCACATCGTGCTAAATTCCATCATGAAGGCTAAAAGTCTCTAAAAGGCAGCACAGGAAAACCTGATGTCTGTCAGTTTCCCAGGAAATTCCTGTTAAATGGCAGGAATAATTCTGAGTGGTATGCTGAAACCCCCAAATCCTCATCAGACATCAGATTAACAGCACGAGCTTTATCACATGCTAACAAAACAGTAAATAAAAGGATATAACCCAGTGGCTAGCATTTGCTAAAACTGCCTTTGCTTTTATCATCACTTCTTTTATTCAGATTTAGCTTAGATACACCAGTGCACATGTTCACTATCACTTTGTTCACAGCATCATTTTGCTCTGGAGACCTATTTGCCATCCATTCTTTAAAGAACTGGAAATCACACCCTGTGCTTAGAGCACAGCAACTTCTGATCTCAAAGGTGTGTTTGTAGAAGTTCATGAAGTTCCCAAATACAAAAGATTTTCTGTTCAATTCTTCTGAGAGCAAGGACCATATTCAATTGGTTCATGCTCTGTCGTGCATACACACATGGAGTTCCTGAAGTCTGAAGCCCATATTTCTTCAAAATAAAAATATAATTTTGTTAACAGTGGGCATTCTGTAGCAGCACTCTGAAGATAATAAAACATTAAAAAATGTTTTCTATTCACTAAACAAGTTTTCCATTTGCTCTTATCCTGAAATCAAAACATAAATGCTGTTTTGTGAAAATTCTTCCTACTTCAACTAAGAACAGCCAAGAACACAACAAATCTTCCTCTCCTATTATGCAAATGTTCCACTGATTCCAGTCATGATGGTAGGGAATATGTCAGGATTATAAATTAACAACAGCTAAAAAGAAAATATCCTTTTGACATTCATTTGCATCTCAAGACAAGTAAAAAGACTTATTGCTACATTTTAATGAGCAAAATGTTACAAAAATCTTATTTATTCAAACATGGTTTAAATAAAATATTTTTAATATTATATTAGTTTTCCCCAGAAGCTAGGGAGAAAAGTCTCTCCAGCACCAAAATAAACAGAAAGTAAAGCATTTCTAACACTGTAACCAGATAACAGCACCCAAAGTAACAAGGCTGCATTTCATTTCATATTGATATTAAAGCTAAGGTTTCCTACAAAAGTGTAAACTTGCATAATATTTTACTTGAATACTTTTAGAGGTTGATGTACAGCAGTAAAAGTTCAGGAAGACTGGTAAAATTCTCCTCATGATAGCACCTAAATAAAGTAGAAAACCAAATCATCTACATAGGACAGTTCACTATTCAACTTCCTGCAGGGGCAGTTGTCCAAGTACTCCTGTACTTACTGTGCAAAAATGACAGAGAAGAGAATGAAAAGAAGACTTTCAACAAAAATATCAAGTAGAAAAATTTTCTAGAATTTCTAGAATGTCCAAAAACATGACCATAATGCTAAGAAGAGGTAGAAACCAAGTATTTTCTATAGGAAACACCATAATAGAAACTATCAAATATACTACATGGACGAGTGTTTCTAAGATGTCATTAATGCATTCAAGAACTTCTACCTCTGAAAGAGTTTAAAAAAAAAGGAATAAAATAAATTTTACTTGGTACTAATGTAGTAGGCTCCCCATGCATTTAAGACACAGAACTGTGCTAGCTCATGTTACCCTTCTGCACAGCACCTTTTACTAGAAGTAGTTTCAGAAACAAGACTGCAATGTCTACATTTCTCCTTCTGATCAAAAGAGAGCATGCTGGAGCAGGTGGACAAAATTAGGAATGCAGCTATTAGTTCAACAGCTCAGACTGTAAGAGGCCAGATGGTCCAGCTCCCTCTCTGACCTTTTTCCAGTTACCCTGGCCAGCAAATTCCCAGGCAAATCTCTTTTAGAAGGGGTGAGCCCTAAGCAGTGAGGACATACCCCAGACCATGACACTCTGCCTCAGGACCAAGGATAGGTGTTTGACCCTCTTTTATTTATATACATAGATATAACAACTGAGAATATAGAAAAGAAGCAGTGTAAATTCTGTGACCCTGTGTTGAACTTAATCTATTTCACTGCATTCTTATTTCTGTGATACAGCAGCAGATCTGAAAATAATCCAGACTGAAAACATCTGGAAAGATTTTGTGCTTGTTTCAGATACAGAATTTGCTATAGTATCATATTTGCCAGGGTATTTATACATCTGAGTTCTCCTAAAAATATCAATAGCTCAAACAAGAAAAATGTAACATGGTTTCTTTTCAATTGTAATTGCTTAATTATCTCCCATGTTTATAGCCACTTCTAAAGGTTCTACAGAAATTATGAGTTTCTGAGTATTTAGGAAAATTACCTGCATGGCAAGTGCTAATTATTCTCTTTTAGATCAGAAGTTTTAAATAGGTGCACAGATTTCACATCTAAAATTTAAAACTTAGCTAGCAAGTTCTCAGCTAACAATAAATATTACAGTCTTCAGTCGCCATCCAAACTAGCCAACTGCAGGACATTTCAAACATTTTGATGGCAAACATTCAGTTTATTAAATACTACAAACTTTCAAAGACCTTTCACAACCTGGACAGTACTTAATTAATTTGAGTGCATTCAATTAATTAGAAGAGATCTTTCTTTCACAGAGCAATAGAAACATAAGTCACTCCAAATGCAAAAAACCCCAAAGCATAAACTCAGGATTTTGTACTACAATTCCCTCATCCACTTGCACAGTTGTTTTTACACTAGCACAATGAACACTAAATTTCTCTATAATTTTTTTTGGGGGGGGGAGGGGGGTGGGGTGGGTTATGACACCAGGCCAAAACAGAAAGCTCATCCCTGGTATCCTTACAGATGTGCCCATTACATTACTGCCCATTCCATGGTGCTGCATGTTGGTGAGAAGAAGGGCAGATCTGCCCCATGCCAGGAGGGGCTGCCCCTTGCATCCTGAGCTGATTGTCTCCCTGCTGCCCCACAGCACACCAGGGAAAGGGGGTGGCAGGCAGTGCCAGAGGCAGGAGGAAGACTTGATGCCCTCATGTTCAGGGCTAGCAGGGATAGCTGAAAGCACAGAAAACTCAGCAAACTCAGCTCCATGCTGATGCTGAGAGCTGCAAACACTTGACAGCAGTGCCACAGCCACTCCACAGGGCAAAGAGACCCATGTGGGTGGGAAGAAATGGTGGGACTGGGAAGCTCCTGCTGGGTCGTTCATGTCATGCAGTCCCACCCAGAACCATAGTTTCCCCTTTGGCACCAGGCACCCAGCAAACAATAGGAGAGCCAAGAGTTGGAAGCTAAAATCTGTCTCTGCAGCCTGGAGGTAGCAAAATGTTGTCAGGAGGTGGGAGCCAGCTGCAGCCTGTGCTGCATGGGAGAAGCACCCACCCCCCTCTCACACCCCACGTCCCCTTGGGCTGTGCTTGAAGCATAAAGTGCCTCAAGTGTGTCATGGCTCTACAGGGGCAAAGCAACTTCTCTGTAAAATGTCAAATTATCTCATATTTAACTTTTGAGAGAAAACCTATACTGAAAAAAATGGATGGATTTTCATCTTCATTTTCATATTTTTGGTTTTTTGCAACTTGTTTCCCTGTCTGCAGCCCTCCATTTTCTGCTTCTTTCCTCGCTTTGCCATTAATAAGGAAATCCTCACCAACAAAAAAGAAAGCAAACTGGTATTGTCACTCCAGATCAAAAAGTCTATTCTTCATCACTATTTTGTCCTCAAAAGATCACTCTCTTCTGTCTGATAATCCTATTAAAAAAGAAGTAGCATGGCAAAAAAAGTCAATTATGTTCTATTTATATGGCTGTCTGGGGGAAGAGAAGGATCAACATTGCATATATCAACACCACTACTTAATTTTAGTAGCCAAACAACCACAGTACATACCCTCCTCCTCAGCTCCTGCTTTGAAACAATAATCACATTTGGAGGATCCCCAACAGCAGTGGCAGCCCCCCCAATATTTGTGAAGATTACTTCCGCAATCAGGACGTGCCTAGGATCAAGATTAAGTACTTCACAGAGCCTGCAGTGTAAAGATAATGAAATTAACTTCTTATCCCATGGATAAATTACCTTAAATATTAAAATGCACAAACATTACAAAATGCAGTCATTTCACAGACAAATGGTAAGATTTTAAACATAATGTGTCAATAAACGGTATGTTAAAGCATTTATTGTGCTAGAGTAATTATAACAATGTAAATGAAAATTGATAGATTTTCTTTACATTTAAAATGCAGTTATTAATGTCAATAAAATTGCTGCATATAATTAAAAGTAGTCAACTATTACAAGAATTGGACTTCACAGAAAATAGCATTTCAAATTTTCAGTGTGATACAGCTTCTGAAGCCATGGTCCTTAAGCTGCACTGACCTGTGGAAACCTATTCTGGTCAACCACAAGCTCTGCACTCAGCAACAGTGATTAACTTTCTTATGGGAAGCAGTGGTAGAGGATTGTGCAGGCTGCCTATTAGCCATGAATCATCTATTAGAGACTTCAGCTTTCAGGCTAGTTTATTCAGTTTGTTCTGTTCCTATTTTCCTCCTTCTCTAAAGCTTGATCATGAGTATTTCTATTTGGGATGAAACAAGACCAGAAAATACACATTCCATATAGTTAAAAAATTCTCAAAATGTTTTTAGCCATTCAAATATATTTAATACTTCTTTGGTGGGATGACACTTTGATAAGAAAAAGTAACTTGCTTCTTTAATAAGAAGCACCTTAAAGTGCTCTGACAAAGACAGGGTTTGACTCAGTAACCTCATGATCTGTTTGAACTCAGAGCCTACTTACGCAGAGTAATCTTCACACAGATTACTCCAACTCACAAATTACGTTTACGCTCACGCCTGCGTAATCTGCTCTGTCCTGAAGTACGTGTTCGATTTTAAACTTGGGCTCTGCTAATAAAAGCTGAAAGTTCAAGTCACACCTAAGCACTTTCGAGTAAGAAACAACTGCTTTCCTCCTCTCAACCTATCAAAAGGTTGCTCCAGAATGTAAAGATGGAGGCCACACTTAAATTATTGTCCCCTATATCTCATAGTAGATGGGGGAAAGAGTGTGCAGGAAGAATGCTTTCTCAGTCCGTGTTATCAAAACCTATATTTCAAAGAGAAAAGACTATTGCAAAAAAGCTTAACCTGATTCACTTACACTATCACCAAGAGTGTCAATTTAAAACTCAGAAAAAACACTCTCAGATGGCATATATGTCAGTACATAAAAACTCTGGAAAATAATAACTGTTCAAAAAATACACTATTTCCTCAGCAGCATGAAATCATTCAGTTAAAGGGTACTTTGTAGTGCTACTGGTTCAAATGTATCAATTGTGGTACAAGACCACAATTGTACATACAATTTTGACTCAATTTCTCCTTGATTTCCCAGTATTTCCAAATATAAGCTAAACTTTTCTTTAGTGATTCTTTCTTTTTGATGGGCCTGGTGGTATTTTAAAAAGAGAATACTAAAGTAAGAAAAGGCTAAGCCCAAAGTGTAAATCCATCAGAACATCTTAGCTAGATGGCAGGATCACAGTTCTTCAGTTTACTTATCCTGGTTATATAATTCCTAATGTGTAAAAACATTAGCCTCCATTCCATTTACCAATAACAAAGTATTTTGAAAATAAGCAACAGCTAAAAGGAAGTAGTTATTACTTTTTTTAGCAGGTTACTACAAAATGCAGAGTGAAACAAGTATCATGTTTTAGGCCTTATCACAGGAAATATAAACCCTAATGTTCGCAGAGTCAGTACGATTTTCTGCAAGCTTTATCTCCATGGCAATGGAGACTGCACAGTGCAACACACAGTGAAGCTGTAGACAATGGCAGTAGGATAAAAAAGAAAATGACCCCCAGCATGAAGCTTTTTGAAGTAGGCAATTATTTGGTTTTAGTAGGTGAGATAAAATTTTATTTTAGTTTTGATAGTGATTCAAATACAAATGCTTCCCACATACTGAGTTTCCCCTTCTTCAGTGTTACAGGCTCATTTAGTATAAAACAAAAGGACTCAGTATATACTTAGTACAAAAGTCCATTACTTAAAGGTGGCTACAAAGACAGGTGCTCTCCCCTCACAAAAATCCACATGGAGAATACAAGAGGCAACAAGTACAAGGGAGAGATTTCACCTCAACATAAGAAAAACAATTTATGGTGAAAACAGTTAACTACTGGAAAAATCTCCCCAGGGATGTGGTAGAGCCCCCATCACCGGTGGTTTTCAAGATGTAATTGGAGAGAGCGCCAGATAATCTCATCTAGCTTTCCTTTCCCATGAAAGGTTGGAACAGATGGCCTTTCGAGGTCCCTTCAACCTGGGCTATTCTGGGATTCTTTGAAAACAGAATAAATGTTACCGTAGTTCTGACTGTGAAAAGCTTTTTATGCTACATTGACTTCTGGATTTCAGTCAATTCCCAAATTATATTTATCCAAAATATTCTGTAACACAGCTAAAGAAAACTTGGTGTTTAATAGCTCCAGTGCTGCTTACTGCTAGAAATGCAATTATTGATTAGGGTATGGCAAAGCCATCTCTTTAAAATATAATCGGACAGAAGACAAATGGAGCTTTCATTCACCAGCTGCTTCCAGTCTAGAATAAATTTCACTTGCAAAATTGGTTTTTACTGCTTTACACTGCATTTTAAAGAGGGGGCATATCTTAATAGAATTTTGTGTACTTTATTGTGACAATGACTGCAAGCATTACATCTCTCAGGATCATTTCTAAAATACATTAGATCTTTCCAAAACTGAACTGGATTAAACAGATTTGCCTGACCAGACACAGGTTAAATTCAGGTTAAACAGTAATTTATAATCCCACACTGATTAAATGTAGTTGCATATAACATGTTATTAATTTACAGAAATCTGAAGTAATTAAATTCATGGTTGTCTGCTCAAAGTTCCAAATATCTAATCTCAAACTGTGCAATTAACCAGTAGCCATCCCAATGACATGATCACCAACAGGAATAAAATTCAGATTTTCATATTCAAGAAAAAGCTGTTAGATGAAATATGGACTTTTTAAAAATTTGTCACTAATATTAGAAGTGATAACAACTTCACCAAAACATAAATTACTATCTAAAATTGTATATAAATATCAGCCAGCAATGAATAAAGCAGTTTTAATTTAAAAATTCTGCCTGATTTACAGGAAAAAAAAATCATCTACTAGGGATCATTTGGTGCAATATGTTATTGCCATTGAAATATGAAGACAAACCAGAACAGTTAGCTGCCAAGGCAGTGTTCACAGTTTTCAGATATGTTCTCAATATTAATGCAAAGGCAAAAGACAAGCCATTCCTCTGAAAGTGCTAGCTTTTTGTTCTGCTACAATAAGAGTATTTGAAGTTCTAATTTCCATTTAAATGATTAAGAAAACCTCCAAACAAATATTTTGCAGGCATGTCTACTACTGATTGCTGGCTATAAAAGACCAAGTCCAAGTCCATAACAATAAAATACCTTATGGTTACTGGAGTAAAGAGCAGCATAGTGGTAACATTGTCCAAAAATGCAGAAAGAATTGCAGCAATAAGGCACAGAAATGTAATCATGGCCCACACCTTGCCTCGAGAGAACCGATAAGCCTAGGAAAAACAAACAGAAGCAGAATTAATGGACTACATCACTCCAGCTTAGATTTCAAAAAATTGTAGATAAAGCAACTTGATCAAAGTTGAGCAACAATGAGCTCAGAGCATTTACTATTCCTTTACTATTACTCCAACAGCACCCTCTCCAATACTAAATAATTTGGCAAGAAAATAATTCATGGAAGTGGGCAAACAATCCCATTACACAAACAAAGAAAAAAGTCTGAAGAAACACCACATTCTGCTACCAGTCATGAAGGGGGTCAGCGGCAGGAGAAGGGCTGAGCCTCCATCTTCTGCCTGCATGCCCAGGTGGACTAACAGGGTTTAGACCTCCCTTCCTCTCCACACCTGGGACACATTGCCCATCCTCAGAGCAGCACTGCTCGAGTGAGTCCAGAGGAGGGCCACAAACATGATCAAAACACTGGAGCACCTCTCCTATGAGAACAGGTTGGAAGAGATCTGCATTATTCAGCCTGGCAAAGAGAAGGCTCCAGCACCTAAAGAGGGGCAATTAGACAGCTGGGGGGGGAGACTCTGGGCAAGGGTGTGTAGTGATAGGACAAGAGGGATTGGCTTTAAACAGAGAGAGTAGGCTTAGATTAGATATTACAAATTCTTTACTGTGAGGATGGTGAGACTACAACAGGTTACCCAGAGAAGCTTTGGATGCCCCATCCCTAGAAGTGTTCAAGTCGAGGCTGGATGGAGTTTCAAGAAACCTGCTCTAGTGGAAAGTGTCCTTGCCCATGTCAGGGGGATTGGAACAAGATTATTAAGGTTTCTTCCTGCCCAAACTGTTCTCTAATTCTATGGTTGTGATTCTATGAATTACACTTTTCATGTAAACTTTTGCTCTGCTACTGTGCAGAGGTCTGTGACCACTTTTCATATGTGGTCATACAGTTAATGATAGTTCCTGCCCCACTGCCAGCCATAAATAGAGTTCAGCTACAGCAGAACTGCGGTCCTGGGGAAATCAGTGAAATATTCAGCTTAATAGTGTCCAAATGCTTGTGTACCCTACTGGGGACCTTTAACATTCTCCTGTATAAATAGGATTGCATTAAGGGCTTCCTTTCATCCAAAAGGATTTTTCCAGTATTGCAACATGACCACTGTAATTTCTAATATGATAAGTATATGCTGACCTTAGAAGGGTTCTTTACGATTGTGCTTGGTGTGACAGATTTGAATAAATACTAACTTGATAAATCTAGTACCAAATAAACCCACCTTTACTGCACAGTAGTCAAAGAATCCAGTCTCTGAAAATATGGCCACCAAAACCATCTGCCAAAAGATGGGGAAAAATATAATCACTTGGAACTGATATATAAAAGTAATTGAATTATTACTCAAAACTAAAGCAAAGCAGTTTGTGATACTGACAAATGGACTTCTTATCTGACACAACTTTGAGAATCTAGTCACCCTTATATTAGAATATCCACTACAGCTGTCAGATATCTCTAGTTAATACATCGTATGGTGAAATATACTTCTCAACATAAGCAGTCTGTAAATGTCATATGAGTCTAATTGAATTTCATTTGTAGTGACTAAGTGGGCATCATACATTAAGTACTCAAAGTATCTCTCTTACATCATTAATCAAGAAGAACCAATAACTGTGTTTGCTCTCTGCATTAATACTCTACAGAGCACAGAAGATAATGGCTTCAAGAAATGCTTGCATTTTCCCACATCTGGGAGGTCTCCTGTCCTTCTGTCTTTGCTCTAAACATAATTTTTTTTTTTTGCTTTCTTTTTCTGTGGAGAATGCAAGGAGCAAGGACCAGTGTCAGGAAATAAGAAAAGCTCAGAATGGAAACAGATAATTGTAATTTTGTCTCTGTGTATTGTATATTTTGTGTTATAGTCTAATAGCACTTAGACAATGTTTTTTACCACAAATAGCTCCAGGCAAAGTGATTAAAATAATATATGATTAAAATCTCATCAGATATTACTTCTCCATTTCTGGCTTGCTTTTTCGTAGCTTCAGACAAAACAGTGAGACAGGAAACAACTCTTCCAGCAGTGTGTGTTTGAGGAAGGCTTTGAATAAACAAAATTAAAAAGAAAAATGAGAGTGATAATACTTGGCCCTTAAACAGGTCTTTCTGTTTATAAATCCCAAGGATGTTTTTAACATGTTGTCAATACAATTTCACAGATTAAAAAAAAAATATTAAAGGATCAACATTTCAAAAGACTCTTTCAGAGGTCTGATCCTCATCCTTTTTGGTAAATTCCTTAAGACACAAATGTTCGTCATAAGTTGTCTGAGTAAAGTACAATCAACAAAGTGTTCTAAAAGGAAACATCTCTGTACTGAATGTGATTATTTTGGCACATTTAGAGCAAAAGATACATTTTAGTTACCATTCCAAACAATAATGCCAGTGTCTCATAGTCAATCCACTCGACCACTTTGACCATACTTGGCCTCTGCAATCAAAAAATACAATTACAAGTGAATGCCACCTAACTTGTGATTAGCTATGACTTGTAAACTCCACTTAATTTATGAACCATTTAAATAAATGTGATGGAAATTAATAAGTGTTCCTACAAGCTACATAAAAAGGACTCTTTATTATTGCCATTACTACTATTATTATTATTACTAATTCAAAGTACTGCTGGCATCCTAAGTCAGTCATTATCAGGCTATTGGTTGGTCTAGTTGTTCCTTACTTAACATTACAGAAATAAAAGATAACCAAATTACATGGTACACTGCAGTTCCCTTTTTGGTAAAAGAACAAAAGCATACCAATTCACCTGTGAACAAACTGGAGGGTATTAAAGGGAACATAGTAATGATGTGGTTATGAGAACAACCGAGAAAATCAATCTGATGTTTGACTATATATCAACGAAGAGTAAGCAGCAGGTGAAACAAAGGGGCTGGAACATACAGGCATGAGATGTAATTATTTAGGGTAGTATAAAGTGTATTTCCATTTAGGCTTGCTTGGTAGCCTAACATTACTGAAAATAACAGTGTTAAGCTAACACTGGATTAAGCTGAAAATGGTTGCAGTCAGCTTCCTGCAAATCAGAATAAAAAAGTATCAGCTGATGTTTCTGTACTCCCCTTGTCTACACATTAGTCTGACCTCTTTTCCCACCCCAGTTTCTGTCCTACCATTTCTCTTCCTTAAAAAAACCACTGCTTTGCCATGTGCTCAGTAAGAACTGGGCAAACATGGAGATTAATGACACCAGACACCATAGCCAGAGACAAAGGAAGCACTTACAGTTTGGTAACTTACCTCCCCAACAATAGCTAAGGCGGCTAAAGCGGCCAAAGCGCCCAGCATGGCTGCAAGGGTCCTGTGAACAATCTGCAACAAAGGATAAGAATTGACCACAGACTCCTCCAAGCATCTCCTTACTATTAAAAATGAGGCAGGGAAAGGATAAAACCTCATGTACACAATTCTTTTCTTGGCTTGCTTGAGGGTTTTTTCCGACTAGAGGATGGTTAATTACTTTGCTATTAAAAAAAAACAAACCAACCCACAAAAAAAACCAAAAACCAAATAAAACAAATTTAAGAAATCAAGCAACTAAAGCCTTGACTGTGGAAATGCTGCTAGGAAGTCTCATCTCTAATATCCAGGTAGAGAAGGGACTTCAGCACCAGTTTCTTACATCTGCCAGTAGGTGACCCAAGAAGGAAAGCAATTCATGTTCCCTAACTTAAGGATCAAAAAGCTTCGTCCTGTTGGCTTCCCTTCACCTCCCATGGAAAGAAGATGCATGCCCAGGAGGTGATCCATCTCATTCTTAGTAGGGGCTTGTTCAGCAAGTGTGCCTTGAAAATGTGCTTTATTTCTCCAAGAACTCATCTGTAGTTATTTAATCCCCTATGTCTGGAAGATCACAGATTGTGTAAAATAACTCGGCTAAAGTAAGCATGTAATTAATGAAAATCACACTACAAAAGACTGAATCTAATTACCAGCTTTCACTATTAATCTGTTTAAATATTATTCCAACACAAGTTAAAATTATTGTTGAGAAAGAAATAAAAGAGTCTAGAAATATTTCATTTGCCTCTAATTTCATAAGAAATATTTTGCTGATAACAAACAATAGGATGAGAGAATCTCAAGGCTCTCCTCCATGTTTGTAAAGGAAAAGCAAAAAAGGAAAGATTTTGCTTTGTTTTTTCTCCTTGATTATAAATTTTTAATGGAAATAGTAAAGAACTACACAATTCATCAAATTACTAGAAAAATAAATATATAAATTACTAACTCAAGAGTAAAAACAATTATCTTATTATCCTGTTTTCCTTAAAAATGCACTGAAGAGTAACCTATTCATGGTTACAAAGCAGGAGATCAGACCAAGATTTTTGAGCCCTACTGACCTACTTGTTCAGAGCACAGACTACAGCTCCCACCAGCTCCTACAGAAATGTGTGTTTTAACCCACTGGCTCATTTTTGATTTCCCATTTCAGTGCATTGACATGTAAGCACACATATGGCCCTTCTGGTTCTGCAAAGGTGGAAGCATTTGATAATATTCCATAGCTCTTCTGGCTGGAAAGCAGGTACAGCAATTAGAACTTACAGCTCTCTCCAATACGAGATGCCAAGCAGAGCTGCCCATTAAGGAAGGGGATCAGCTTCTCAGCAGAGCAAAGCTCAAGTGTAGGCTACAGGGAAAACCTCAGCTGTCCTCAAACTGAAGGTTTTCTCCTCATGCAATCCCCACCCACGTTAGGTGGCTCTTTTGCAGTTCCCAGAAAGATATCTTATGTTTTCTGAGATTCATTTAGCTACAGATTTTTTGCATATTTCCACATAATCACTTTTGCTGTCACTGTTGTGTGCTTAATTGCTTGCATTGAGTTGACTGCAGTTTCAGTTTCCAAGAGTTTGCTGTCACCTATGGGTGAAGTTGGCTTTAATTTATGCAGAAAGAAACTGAACAAATTAAGTCATCTGTCAGTTCCTTCATTCTGGTGGTTTTTCAAGAAGGATATACAAAGGTATATCCTGAAGAATGAACAAAGTGCAAAGCTTTATTAGAAAAAACTTAGTAAATGTACAATTTACTCCATTCCAGTAAGCTATCAAATAAAAGTCATAAAGTAATGTAAAGCCTAGAAAGAGCACTTATGTAAACTCTGAAACCTGTAAATATTCAAAATTTTATATTTAGGAAGCTTAAGGAAAAAATAGATTACTCTCTTTAATTTTCTTTTCACAGAAAATAAACCCCAAACAAATAACATATTTGCACAGGTATTTTTTAAAACTTACAAATATAGAAGTTAGGAGGTGAAGGTTACGAGTTCTGACATTCTTTGAACCACAAATCCATCTAATAAACATTTGGAGGGCTTTATATCAAGCAAAATTCCATTATTATTCTTTTGAAAAATACCACAGATGAGCCAACCCTTTTGAAGATTGGCAGGAGGATGAGTATCTTTTCAGGATGATTCTTGGAGTGTATCCATAAACAACAGCTCAGGTAGAGAATTGAAAGAGCTTAAAAATAAATTAAGACAGAGACTTAATCCCAGGAAAGCTGAGAGATTTAGTGGACTTCTGATCTAAAGACATTTTTAAAGGTTACGTGAAAAATCATCTGTATTCATCTGATTGTTCTCTGACTTGAAAAAGGGCATCCCCTTGTGCAATGACCACAGATTTGAGAAAGACAGGACTGGTGAGGAGGAAGATGCAAAGCTTTTAGTGTATCAGTTTGTATGCTAGAGCTCCCCACCTCCCATTTCAACTGCAAACCTTAAAAACTCTTTGCAAAAAGGGCATCCACCATCACCTTTACTTTTGTCTGAATACCTAGCAGTGCTGACCCACTGCAACAGCAAAGGATAGGGCTCTTGCCTTTGTCAAAGGGACAGTAATACCAATACAAAGTGCTACTGAAAATAATGCAGTCCAGATTTCACTCTTTACAAAGCAGGATTCAGTTTAGAGCTCACTGTTATGGGACATTACAAGTCTAAGAGATTAGGAGATTGAAAAAAATAGGGAATGGATATTTACAGTATTTTATATTAAAAAAATGGAAATACCCAAAGCTGCAACAGTGAAACAACAGTGTCAACAACACAGGTGTGTTGATAACAACCTCATAGAGTCAGTCAGAATAAGCAAAGACTAGGAAAGGCTACTATAGCAATTTTGTTTCATAATTCTCTGTAGAAAGTTCATCTCATGATTGCCTGCTGTGTGATAAACACAATGTGCTGAATGCTGATTCTAGTAGTTTCCATACTCTTAATTCATGAGTTCATTTTAAAGTAAGACATTAAAGCTACCCAAATAATTTATGCCACAAGTCTTTTTGCTTGATATTAATTAACAATATACAGTTGCAGAACTATAATGCAAATTGGATTTAGAAAGCCTAGACCTTTCCCAGATTTAAATTTCTTTATCTATTTGGAATTTTTGCACTGAGTTCATCAAACCATTTGGTAGACTGTAACAGCATCATTTTAAAAATTATTCTGAATTCTAAACCCTAAATCTTGTATGGTGTTCCAGGAGGCAAAAGAAAATATTTAGAAGCCATTTGATTGACAACCTGGGTGCTATTTCAGAGCATATCTTTCCCAGCTGAAATCCAGGACACATGCATTTCTATAATGCATTTCTGAAGATATTTGGTAAATGATATATCATACCAAGCATTTTATTTCCAGAAGTCCTTTGTTTTAAGTCATAAATAGCAGTTGAAATATAAGTGTCAATGATTTTAATGTAAAGCTTCAAACAAAACCCATATTCATTTCTTATCCATTTTGTCTCCAGTGAAGCCTGTTTTATTGAACTTCTTATTTTACTGATAAATTAATTTACATTTGATAGAGTGGCAACACTGCTGCATTTCAACAAGTTATCATCAAACCTATATCCACATATGAGTTTTATGTATTTTTCACCTACCTTCAGAATAGCTGAGATCTTCCTTATAAAATCAACAGCCAAATCCCTCTTAAACTTTATAAAGTCTCTAGTTTATTTCTTTATTCTCAGGTGACAAAGAGGGAGAGAAATATAACTTACCCTAGGATAGCTTTTTTTTCTGACTTTATGTTTTGTATGTATTCCATTTTATGTTTTAATAAGGATTGATTTGGTTAAAATAAAACATCCTCAGCAGTGGAAGAGGTTTTTTTCCACTGTTTTTCCCAAAGATAATCAAGACACTATTAGCCTAAGTGCCTCTGAAAATGTGCTCCTCAGTCACATCCCTTGATGGAGTTATCTTATAATTTGGTGTCATGTATTTTACAAATTTTGGTGGTCTGTTTTCCTTGGACTATTCCAGTTGTTTTAGCAGGATACAGATGAAACTTCAGTCTTTCATGGCTACAAATATTTGATTCACTCTTAAATGGATTCAAAAAACCCCACATTTTGGAAAATTAATGCGGAAGTCTTACACTAGCATCAAAAGCTGTAATCAAAAAAAGAAATTGCAGAAAAACAATGGTAATTTAGCTTTAAAATTTTGATAATTTTTCCTAACTGTCAAGTAACATGACTGAAAATATGGGCTTATGATAGAAAACAAGGGTAAAAAAAAGCCTTTAAATACTTTGAACTAACTCTGCCTTGCTGTAGATCCACTTCAAAGCTGAATGTCACCAAATTCTTAAACCATGGAAATTTTCTTTATTTCTGGCAAATTTTAAAATTTGGACACAACAAAGCAACAGACTAGAAATATAGGATATAGTCAGATACAAAGGAGTTCAGTGTGGAAGAAATTTTGTGATGCCAGATATATTTATTTGATTTTCCACACGCTTACCTCTGGTAAAGAGACTGACCAGTACCAGTTAGTGAAAGCATAGCAGCAGCATATCTCCCCTTCAGCTGGTGATGGCAGCTAATGTTTTAGCTGTCTTCACCCTCCTGCCCCCAGTTTGCTCCTGACACCAGCTCTGCAGAAGCAGTTCTGCAGCTCCTTCAGCCTTGGGGCACTGTGTCCAGCACATGGGAACCCTTCACAGGGGATGTGCTCAACACCTTGTGCAAAATGAATGATAACAGAAGATTAATTTCCTTAGAATTACCTAGTTAAGCAGTAGAAAGTGAACTCTGTAGGGATTTTAATGAGGCAAAAAGGAGCTGCTTCACATAGCTTAGAAAGTATGACCTGCTGGTGCAGTGTGCAGGGATGGGCTAAGCAATTCTTGAGGTAAGCATGTAAGGTACACTGGTGCAAGATGATGTGCATCAAGAATCCCAAAGTGACTCAAAGCATCACAAAAATCCGTGACAGCAAGAACAGCTATTTACATCTTTGTCTGAAGATTAGGACTCTACCTATATGTATTCCATACA